ATAATAATAATAATAATAATAATAATACTTCTAGAATTTCTATTATTACTGTTTTTTTTTTCTAATGACGAAAGGTTAAAATATTAAAATCAATTTTTAACGAGGATAAATGAAAACAGGCTCGATATTTTCAAATTCATAAATCTATAAAAGGAATTAACAACCGCTTATTTAATAAATAACCTTCTCATTAACTAATTATACGATAAACATAAAATTTTCGACGTTCAATTGATTCGAATGTGCATTAAAACGATAAGGTTAAGAGTATTTATCAAAAGGATTCGGTATTTTGAATCAATATTGACATTACTTTGTCAACTATAGATAGCAAACATTACAATACTTTACTTAAAGTATATCTTGTCTTTAAAAAAGATCTTAAAGTCGATATTAAGTTAAGAAACAAAACTAAAGACATCGTTAACCTTACTTAAAATCCAAAATATTCATTCTCCTCCATTACAATTATCGTTTCTTCATTTCATCTCACCCGTTAATTACTTCGTCTACATTTTTTTTTTTAATTCAAAAATATAAACAATTAATTAATCGTATCTTTACGAATTTATTAATACTCGTATCTTTATTAAAGAAAATAATACGTAAACAATAAACAATTCGATTAAATATTTTATTTTTTTTAGATATTTTTAACTCTAACCCTTTCCAAACAGCACAAATTATATTGGACCAATGCAGTATGATAATGACGAATGGCAACAATAGTAGAAAGCGGTTGATTGGACGGTTTACTCCAGGCAGCCGGAGAAAGATCGATTCGCATCTTTTCTCTTAGAATGTTGACGTCATGTTTGTATGTGACGTCTCGGAGTGGAATCACATGACGGAAGAGTTGACCAATCGGGATGGGGGCGAGACTGTTAAAGGTCTCTGAGGGATTGGTAAATTTTTTCTAGTTTTCTTTTATTCGATCGGACGACTCGAAGACATTGCTACGAATTGAAAATGTCTGTTTATCGAACAGAAATGGTTTTAAAGACGTTTAACTCCCTCGTAGCAGCTTACAAGAACAGTGTTCTATGCAGCGTGCATGGAGGCAAAATATATATATACTGTTTACAGAATATTTTATTTATTATCTTTCAATTTTAATTTACTCTTTATTTATTTCAATTGTTAGTATGTTTTTTTTTTCCTTCTTTTTGCTTCTTCCCCGACCAACAAAATTGATTTAATTTGTAAAGTCGTTATAATTTATTGTGAATAATGGTTTTGAGTTTTCTGTTCGGGAAATCTCCAAATGCAATTTTTATTTTCAATGGAAATTCGATTAAGTTTAAAAAAATAATAATACTATTTCAGATTTTTATGCAATAACTATTTTGAAATGATGTTTAAATATTTTACTGATTCGAGAATATTTAAATGAAATAAATTTCGTGTTCCATAAATATAAGACATTCTGGCAGCAAAAACTTATATTAAATTATTGAATATTTTTAATTATAAAAATCGCTTTTAATTTTTACTTTACGTATACAATTTATTATTATTTTAATGTATGTATGAAGCCTATGTATATACGCTACGTGTGTTTGTATATTTGTAAAAATTATATTAATAAGAATTATTAAACTTTATTATATAAAGCAAAATTATTTATAGCGCTTTGTATAAATATTTTTATGTTAAAAACATCTGTTTTTTTTTCTAAAATACAATTATAAATGATTACATATGAATATATAATTAGCCTATGATCTGGTGAATTTTGATTCCATGCAACTAATAATTAGAAAGTCTAATCAGTCTTTTTAATTAAAGAGAAATCAGCTAAATCGAAAATTTTTATACGCCTCAAAATTCATATAATGTGTAATTTGCATAATTTTTTCATGAATAAGATATACATTACATATATGCTCTTAATTAATTTTCCAATTGAAATATTATTTAAAATAAAGCCTAAATTCGTTTAAAGTTTTTATAAATTTTATAATTTAACATGATTCATTTTTAAAGCAATTTTTAATTAAAAATATAAATTTTATCATATCTACACACGTAGGCCTATAGACTATGTGTATGTGTATTTTATAGATAACATACTTTTCACACACTTTTTCATTAAAAAAATAAATTTTATTTTTAATTTTTTGATGAAGTTACATAACAAACAAATTTAGTTTTAACTGTAAACGCTTCTTCTTCTGTAATATTTGTCAATAACTGTAAAAAATAATACGAATATTCATGTACTTGTACACTTACATATTATAAAGTATTAAATAAGTATAGAAAACATAGGCTATAGGCCTATGTTTTGAGTTTTATTAAATAAAATATTTATATTATTTTTATATTTTTAAACAATTTAAAGTCTTTATTTTAAAGGAGAAAAAATTAAATTTATAAAATATGTTAAAAATTAACCAATAATTAAAAATATAACGTCATATATATTTGAGATTTAGGTTCTTTCTGCTTAAATCTTATAATTTAAACAAATTACAATAGGTTTATTACACAATTCTAACTTAAATATTAGAATATTTTTTAAAATTTTAAACTTACATATTCCATATTTCTAATCAAATAATTATATATTAAGAAAAATAATATATCAAATCAAAACTTCTATATGTAAAAAATGCATTTAAGAAGAAAGTAAAAACTTTAGAAAATAAAATTAACAATTAGATCTTTAATTCTAAACCTATGAAAATTTCATTTAATGTCAAGTGTAGTCAGTCTCATAGGAGCAGATTTCCCGAATAATTCTAATTAATTCCAAAGAAACTAACTTAAAAATTGAACATTTAAGAGACCTGAAAATTATACAATTAAATATTTAGTAAATTATAAGTTTTAACCATTCGAATAAAGAAGTTATAGCTTAGTGACATTCTACGTAATGAAAAATTCATGTTCTTATAGCTAAAAATATTTATAAAATAATCGAAATGCAATATTTATGTCGATCATCACTGATATATAGCGTAACATTTCTTTATAATTTTGTAACAACGTTAACAATGTATTATTTAATTCAGTTAAAGTAAATTTCACTTTAATTACAGATACTAAAATAATCCTATTTCTTAATGATTAAAAATTCTAAATGATCTCAAAATTTTTTTTTATAGAACCGCATTGAAACAAAGAAGTCAAAAATAACAATATCTGTTAAGATTGTTTCAGAAATTAATTAAGACAACTAAAGAAAATTTACAAACAAAACATTACCTTCTTTAAGTTAAATATTTATACAAGATGTATATAAAATGAAAATAGCATTACAATTAAACAGAAGCTGAGGCCTATAATTTACTTTAAGTTATAATTTGTTATGGTATAAAATATATTATCATTTTGGCTTTGAAATACACAAGTTAATTTAAAAATAGGTGCTAAAATAGAATTCATATATAATTATGAAATAAGCAAGTTAAGGAGAAAGAATAGCAATCGTAACACTTTCAAAATAGCCGTGAAGTAAATTGCCAATGCAAAAATAACTATTAAATACCCTAAAAATTTTGTATAAAAATGGAATAAAAGCAAAAATATCCTTAAAATTTTACTTAAACAAATAAAAACTTAATGTAAATTTGACAAAATTGTGTGGCTGTATTATTAATAAACAAATAGCATTCAAAGTATAAGCTGAAAGGTAGGTTATACTTTTGGAGTTAAGTTAATTCTTTTTGGCAAAAATATTCAAGCATATACAAAGTTTTCAATAAAACAAGAAAATCATGCAAAAATTTGTCAAATTATCAATTAAGTTTAAAATTTAATAAAAGGATATTTAACGAGTATATAAAGATATAAATGTAATGTAATATGAATTTGACCAATATTATATTAATATTGTCAGTAAAGTGATTTTGGCATTTTTATTATTTGTGTCTTCATTATTAGATTTTTACACCGATAAATTAAATAAACACGTTTTTTAACCTACTGATTTAACAGCTCATTAAGAATTTAAACAATTATCACTTAATATATTTACACAAGACTAGAAAGACCAAAATGAAAATGAAGTAATTTAAAAAAAAGAAGCTTTTATTCTAACATGATTTCATTATCATATATGAAAACAAATTTTATTTTCGTTAGAATTTAAATTTTCAAGCAAAAGATATGCATTTTAAATGAACGTATTTAAAATAATTCAACATTAGATCTGTAAGGAACTTGCTCCTACACTATAATCCGTGATATAAAGTAATTTTCCGAAAGTTTTCTCATAAACAAAGAAAAAATTTTAACAAATTCAGCTTTACTGATGCAAAGTTTTGTTGTATATAAAATAATAATTGAAAAAGTAAATTATACATAAATGTTTAATTCACAAAAAAATAATAGAACCAGATTTTGATTTTTTTAAATTTAAAGCGTGATCAGATACACAAAAATAAACTGTAAATTATGTAATTTATTAAAAAAATATATTATAATCTATTTAGTAAATTCATTTTGCAACTATTTTTAATTTTAAATTTCGACTCTGAAGTTTCGTGCTTGTATCTAAATTTTTTAAAGTGGTGTAATAGATTATTGTTAACCGCAAATGATTTATGTGTTTACGTGTTTCAAATAAAAATAAACGAAACAAGGAAATTATATAAGTAATATGTCCTAAGGTTGTGATTTTCTTCTAGTCTGTGTCACGATAAGGACTTAACGACGTGTCCTAAGTCCTTTATCGTGTCACCATCGGGTCAACAGGAGAATGTGTGTACGTGATATAGATGTTGTCTTAAGCATAGATCCCGCTGATTGTTTGTTAAGTAGAAAGACAAACTCGTTCGAACAGTTGTCATCAACTTATTAAAGACTAACTTGTCTTAATAAGACTCGATCTCCATTTCTTAAGCTTTACAGAAACGAAAGTAGAAAGTTAAATTCTTATATTTATAAAATATTATATAAGCCAAGCCATGTTTACTATACAGCATAAGCTATACGTAATAATAATTCAAAAATTAAATTAAAATGAATAAGTTTAAAAACTTAGCTTAATAATTAAGTCAATTATTCAATCACTAGAGCATAAAATAATATTTTACGCTTCATCAACTGAATTTGAAGCATACTTTTTTTTATGTTATCCTGTAGACAATAAAGGAAGAAAGCGTTGCTTTATTTTAAAGCATGTTTAAATTCGCATTTGTCTAAAAAGTATTGAAAATGAATATAAATGAAAACTGAATAAAATAGTGATAATTAAAATATAGAAATAAAAAATTTTAAGCGATAAAAGATACAAAAGAATTAAAATAAGAAAAATTCGAACGAAATACAAAATAGAATGACTATTTTGCATTATAATATAATTTTTACATTGCTAATTAATCTAAACAGATTTTTTTCCCTCCTTATATTCTATGTTTTTCATATTTATCTTCGTTTTACATTCTTCTCTTGTCAGCATTACTTTACTTTAGCAAATCAACCATGCATGCAATGGTAACTTCATCTTTATTTTAAAAATTCAGTAATTGAAATGTTAAAGAATTGTTCACGAAAAATGCTAATTGCTCATTTATTTATACAAGTTTTTTATTTCCTTCCTTTTTTTTTTCATTTTCACTTCATGTTTCGTGGGATAGAACTTATTTTACATTTTATAGAAAATCTAAACTAAAAAAAAACACATACAAATAAATCTTAAAATTGCCAAATAAACTAATTAAACTTCGTATTTTTTAGTATAGAAATTTTATTATCGATAAATTTAAAACGTCAATTGTAAATAGAATAAAACGGAGATTCATATTTAGTGTTTATCATAGCCTTGTTCAAAAAATCATATTATATTTATTTAAGCTAAGTTCTTTAAGAGCAATTTATTATTTTCATAAACTTATTAAAATAGATTAGTTTCAAAATAAACAATTAATTTATTCAATGCGTTTGTTATTCTTTATTTTAAAAAATTATACAAGGCGATGCCAATTAGGCAAAATGAGCCTCCCCACAAACAATAGAAATACCCCAAAACAAAAACGAGAATAAAAGCCGAATGATAATAATAAACATGTAATGAAAATAGAAATACAATGAAGTTGGTACATTGTCGAATTTTTCACAGTTATATATGTTTAAAAAGAGCTTATAGTTTACTAAGTTAAATTTTTCACTGTAAATTATAACTTTACTTCAAAACGAAGTCATAATATTCTTGTTTAAAAATATATATGTATATAAATAAAGAATGAATGAGCTTTTACTTATATTTTATTGTAAAATAAATAGGCCTAACAACATACATTTTTATCTTACATTGATCTAGATTAGGCTGGATAGAATTCTTACTTTGAAATTAGTAACCAACTTCATAATGAGCTAATCTCAGTATTTTTATTTAATAATGAGACAACTTCAGAGGTTCACTCGAAATAAAAACTCAAAATTTCAGACTCAATTAAAAAATATCTCTATTTTTATATTAGAATAAACTGAATTGAAATTTTAGAAATGAATAGTTTAACTCCAGAATTTTTATCTAAAAATAAAATAATCTTAAAATACCTGCTTATCTTTAAATTATATTTTACTTAAGGTAAAACTATCAATTTTTCTTTTAATTTATAAACTCTCATGTACAAATTTAAATAATTTTTAGAAAAAAGCTATTGTGATTCTTATTTATTTCAAATTTAATATATGCTTAAAACTGTTTTATTTATTTATTTATTTTAGAATTAAATATTGTTGTTTATAAATGAATTTTTGCATAATTTATTTTACATTAAAAATATACATATTAATTGTTTGAAATACAGTATCTCATTTTTACTGATTATCATACAAAAATATAGTTAACAATTAATAATTCAAATCTATCTTAATAAGAAATTTTGAAAATATTATAAATAAAATTTCGTATTATTGAACTGGTATGAAATTGCAGTCAAATATAATCAAAAACTAAGTTATACAATGTTAAAATTATCATACAGATAGCCTTACATAGGATTCACTTTCATAGATATAACGCATCTACATTTCATATTTTCATGTCTTGTAATATATGTAATGAATTCTAATAATTATCTATTCTAAAATTTACCTAATATAATAAATTAAAAGTGTGAATTATTTAATTTCTATTTACAAGACATAAATAATTTTAAATAAGACTATAAATAATTTTAGTAAGCTGACAATCTATAGTTTCTTATTGCAAAATGATCAAATTCGAAGTTTAGATCTTT